CTCACTGTTTAACAACCCAAGAGTTAAAGAAGAATCCCCAGAGGAATCTAGATACTATCTAGAGACAAATAACAAGAAAAACACAGCCTACCCGGCCTACCGGGACTCGGAGCAGGACTAGGGAGGAAGTTGGTGGTGGTACATTCAAATTAACAACCAAACCTCACACTTCAATAAACTAAAAAGAGAGGAAAAAGCTAAAACAAAAGTTGGGGGAAGAAAGGAGATAACAGGGGCTAGAAAAAAATGAAACGGAGAAAGGAAAACAAGTTGATGAAACCTAATGTTGTTTGGAAACAAACTATTTTCACAAACAAGGAAAATGGGGGAAGAGATTCAAATGAATGCAATTAGAAACGAAGGGGGGTGGACATTGCAACTAATGTCAAAGAAATTAAAAGGGATGAGGGAGAACTGCTAGGAACAGCTATCTACTGACAAAATCGGATAACCAGGAAGAAAGAGACATGAACTCCTTCAACTCAAGAGCAAGACAGCAAACCAATCTCAAAAACAAACAAACAAAGCACAATTAAAATTGGGCAAAATAATAGACAATTCTCCAAAGAAGATGGAACTGGCAAGTTTATGAAAAGATGCACAATGTCACTAATTACAAGAGCAACACAAATTAAAAACCACAATTCTATCTCACCTATGTCCATGAGTACAGCCACTATCAAAAGAACAGAAAATAATAAGCCTGGGCAAAGATTCAAACAAACAACAATAAAAAACTGAAACCCTTGTTCGCTGTAAGTGAGAAGTCGAAATGGTTCAGCTGCTATGAAAACCCACATGAGCCTTCCTCAAAAAGTTAAAAATAGAATTGCTGCACCATTCAGCAATCCTTCTGGGTAATTATGCAAAAGAATTGAAAGCAGGGTCTTAGAGACATTTTTATGCTGGCGTTCATGGCAGTGTTATAGCCAAGAGGTGGGAGTACACCAAATATCCACTGACACATGAATAAATATAGAAAATACATGCGTATGATGGAATATTATGCAGCCCACAAAAGAAGTAACTCCTGTCACATGTTTCAACATGTATGAACTTTGAGGACATTATGCTAACTGAAGTAATCAGAGTCATAGAAACAGTAGAAAGATGTTTGCCAAGGGCTGGTGTGTGACAGGGTTAGTGTTTAATGGGTAGAGGCTTTCAGTTTACAGGATGACAAATTTCTAGAAATCTATCACACCATAATGTCAATATTTTTTAACACTACTGAGCTGTATACTTTAAGATGGTAAGTTTAGTGTATACATTTTTTTTTTTTGGAAATCACCACCACAATAAAAACAACAGCAAAAGCAATATGTCTAAAAAGTCAGTTTCATTTTGGAAATATAAATATAAATCAAAATTCAGAATAAAAAATGATTACTAGGGTTTGAAATGAAAACATGTTATAATAGAACTATAGGTTGAATAATTATTAGCTACATAATGGAAACAGAGAAGTTGGATTTTAATCTTTATAGTGTTTTGATATGACTTTGTGTCACTATGGCCCGATGGTCCTTTTCTAGTCTAGGCCCAGAAGCTTCCATGTACCAGTGTGGTGGGACACAGAATTCTCTAGTAAATCATGCCAAGGGCACGTGGAAAGGGTGATTTTATAAATTACAGAATCTTGATGTGAGTCACAATACTTTCTCAGGTGAGACCCGATCCATACCATGATAGGCATACACCAGACCTTAAGCCTCCCCGGTGGTGATTTTTCTTTTTTTTCTTCATTAGTGGAAAAATACAAAGGGACTTGCGATTCAAGTCTAAATCAGCAGTGCAAAACCACGCACAATTAGATCTCTATACTTTTCTAATTTCCCCCTTATTTTTTCTGACATTGAATACCATCCCAGTGGGGATGGAGAAATGAAGCGCCAGTTGGCAGGTCTTGGTGACAACCCTTTTCTGCCACCGGTGAGTCACTCCTAGGGACAAGCCGTAAATCCTCTGCTCATCAGATTTCTATGTGGAATGCGGTGTGGTTGACATCACGATTACAACAGCAACGCTGATCACGTGCTCCTGGGATGATCATGCTACTGGTCATTCTCTTGCTCATTACTTGATGCACGGAGGAGGCATCCCAGGATAGGGGTCAATCAGCAACTTGCCCAAGGACACGCAGCTGGTGGGCGAGGCCAGAGCAGGCACTGAACCTGCTACCAGCTCTGACCTTGTCTGCTGAAGCCACTACCCAGCCGGTAGAGTCATTATGCAGAGATCTAGTGCAGGGAAGTGATTGAGAGCCCACTAAGTGCTGGCCCTCAACAGATGGTCCCATGTTATGTCACCAATGGCCAGTGTCAGTGAGTCACTTAGGGATTCAGCTGCCACTGTGGTTCTATCTGGGCCTTCCCCTCTGTGGCCATCAGGCAGGGGCAAGTCTGCTGGTCAGTGCTGGCTTTTAACTCCTTTCCTCATCACCGTGTACAGATAGGAAAAATCCCTTCTGAATGGCTGCGAGGATCACTTAGGATCATTGATACTTCGCCCTAAGTTTTCATTGTGATGAAACATTCAGGTTATTTTTTTTCATTTTTGTTCTCTGTGTTGATCTTTTCAAAATCTGTCCTCTCCCTTGTTCTATGGGAACAACTAATATAGTTTGGCTAGGAAGATAACATTTTTCTTCTGAAGAGCCCAAGAGCCTGTTCCTCACTGTGGAGCTACTAAAAGTCACAGTTTCAGAGCTCGCCATCCAGAAGGTCAAGTCCAGGTTCCTGGTCTACCCCGGAGGGCACCCTGGACATACTTCTCAACTTCATGGAGGTCTAGTCTCTTGGTCTGTTCCAGAGGCACAATGATGTTTCCTCAAAGCATTGCTGCCATAATTAGACAACAGGGGCATACAGTATGTGTTCAGTAAATTTACCCCCCTTTAATAATCCTGTAACAAATTGTCAGTTAACATAGTTATGGCTGAGAAATCAAAACCAGGAGGGTAGGTCTAGGAATGCAGAGTAAACCCTCCAGCACTGCTTCTCTCTTGTTCTGCTGTTCTTCTAGGTCTTGGGTTTGTGCTGCCCCTGACTGGAGGCAGGGAGGTGGTGAACACCTGAACACACGTCTCGGGACAAATCCTAGGATGAGACCAGTAACACTGGAGTCGGAAGGATGAAGTCCAACTTCAACGCTTGCTAACTCTGTGGCCTCAGTCAAGTAATTTACATTCTGTGTTCTTGTTTTCTCGCCTGTAACTTAGGAAAAGAGAAAATATCCGCTCTGCTTTGTTTTGCAGCCAAGAGCTAAACAAATATGCTTAGCTTTTATGGATGCTTCTGTCATCCTCCCTGCTTTCATTCAATCTCCGGGCAAGTTGGCTGGTGCCAGCTTAGGTCTGTTCGAATTTGTAATCACCAAGAGGTGGGCGAGAACCCCGGATTCCCATCTTTATAAAATCTAGCATCGTATCAGTAAGACATCTTGACGTTCATTCTAAAGAGATTATCTATCTTCTCTGACACCATCTGATATGCTCCTCATTATGTGATCTTAACTTCCTTATTTAAATATTTGAAGATTCTGTTTAAGAAATACCATCCATGAAATAGCCATTAGAAGAGTAATTTCTCTGTAAGCCATTGATCTTCTGCAGTCAACTTTAGTCTTCTCTCCTTTAAACAATTTGAGTTATATCTTTGCATTGTTTAGTGTTGGGGTGTGTGTGCGTGGGGGCGGGGGAGTGGTCCCTTTAATCAGGATCCTATCATGTGCTTTTTGGAGCCTCCTGGGAATTGCTGTTAAAGAATCTGATTGTGAATGTGACTGTGCATTCACAGCAAGATGCTCATATCAAAATAAATCCACCCAGAGCATCTCATTTGTAGATTTGTACTCCTGAAGCACTAACTAAAATAAGAAATGTTAATTTCTTGTAGACTATTACCAGATGATTTTTAAAGATCTGCCAAGCAGGAGTGTCTGTTCCCATGTGAGGAATTTCCATAATAAATTCCTGGCACCAAAGCCGAAGAGGATAGTTTTATAGAAACAGAGAAAAAACAAAAGCAAGTATTCTCCCCGAGGACAGTTTTAGCTACAACTTCCCAAGGCTGCTTCGTTATTTCTGTTCTCATTTGATGCTTTTGTTTGGAAACGTAATGCAGTTTTTACCTGGATGGACTCCCGGGATCTTCAGGAAGAGCTCAGTCGGTGGTCTGGCACCTGTCAAATAGGAGACCTCCCCAAAATCAGAAGGCTCCACCGCCTGGCCTCTTCCCCCACCCCCAGGGCCATCAGGGGGAAAAAAAGGGTTAAGGATTATTGGAGATCAGAGGGGAGGGGAGGGAGCCCCGAGGAGGCCCAGGGCAGGAGGCCTCTGGGTCCAGCTTTCATGACCTGCAGCCTGGCTGAGCTCTGAGCGCTGCTGCTTGCTGCTTGCTGCTGCGTTCGGAGGAGGGATGGGAGGAAGGACGCGGCTGCCAATCTCAGGGACCACTGCTGCCAGGAGTGGGCGTGGCCTCATCGGTGTGGATGCTTGTTAGAAAAGATACTGGGTGCTTTCCAGTGAGGAGTCAGGGCTGTGTGTGTGAGGGAGGGGGGCAGGCAGAGAGAGAGAGAGAGAGAGAGAGAGAGAGAGAGAGAGAGGAGAGAGCAGGAAAGAGGGAGGGAGATAGGAGGGGAAGGAGGGAGGAGAGAGGGAGAGACAGAGAGCAGACCTGGAGATACTGAAGATCCAGTCGGAGCTGGGAGAGGGACTGAGAACCCGTCTCAAGCGCTGCTAGAGCCACTCAGGATCTTTTGGGGGAGCTCGGTAAATAGGAGCATGGGGTCTGTCGCTGGAGCCTTCCTCAAGATGCTTTTCCTGTTATCTACTCACAACTGGAGCAGAGCGGAAGCTGGGAATTCTTGTAAGTATACAGCCAATGATTTAAAACTTGCAGGGGGGCTCCCTGCAAAACTTTGATTCGATTGTTTTTTTTTTTTTATGACTGTTATTTGCTGCTGAGATGGCTGCAGAGCCTATTGCTCTCAATGATGAAACATCATTTAAAAATCCTGCAACTAGGACCCGGGGTTGATGCTCCTCTTTCCTCTTGAACAGGTCAGCATAGGCAAAGTGTGAGCTCTCTCTCTCTCTTTTTTTTTTTTTTTTTTTGTCTATGACTGGGATCCTACTCTCTTGTCTTTGAATATTCATTGAGGATGCTCAAGTTCTAGTAAAACATTAAATTAGCATCTTAACCAGGGTATCGCCTGCGAATGTCTTCATTTCTTCCTTTGAGGATTACTGCATTTCATTGGAATGATGTCTAACGTGAAAACAACCGGCAGACTTTGCACTATGCTGCATTTAGCTTAGGTTTCTGAAGTTTGCGATTTGGCAGAGGAGTAGCTGACTGGCTGCATCTTTAAAATGATGCAGGCTAATAACTGAAAATGTACTGCAGACTTGGGAGCCGGCAGGACTGGTGGAGGCAAACCTCAGTATCAGAGCTGTGTCCTGGCTCCTTAGACAAGGAGACTTGGAGCTCTCCTGAGAGAGAGCTGATCCCCACATTTGACTGAAAGGAAAAAAAAAAAGCATTCAGGTGATCTCTTTTCAAAAGTGTGTTCTTTACTGGTTGGCTTTTCTGCTTCATGGATTCGTGATTGAATATTTCTGATTTTTGAGTTGATGGATTCAGGGAAGATTTGTGCAGATCTTGTCTCTAATTTAAAATATCACCCCAAATAATTTGGCAGACTCCCTTCATCCATTTGTTATTAGAGATTTAAAAAAAAAAAGTTTTGAAAGTTGTATTTGGTTCTCTAAAGGGGAGAAATTCCCCCTCCACAACGAGTGAAAAACAAGCTCAAGAAATCCAACTTTTTATTTCTTGCATTTTAAAGGAAAATCCCATTTGCTCATTTGCTTTTCAAGAAAGGGCTATGAGGCCTCTTCAGGAATTTATGCTGCTGCTGTGCCACCACCAGCCTAGGGTTGGGGGACTGAAGCCAGCAAGCAGACATTTGGTGTGGGAGGGATGTCATCTGACTTCACTCAAGGGCTCTCATGTGAGAAAAAACATTACAAACTCACCATCCCTAGCCAAATGTCTACCCCGGGCTGCATGGTGACTGTGATTCCATTCGCTGTGTTTCCATCACTAGGAATTCACATAACCTCAGGGTGCATCTATCCCTCTCTAAGGAGAAAACTTCACTCCAGGTGCTGCTCTGTGTTTCAGATTCAGTTTTAAATTGGGTGTGTGGGAATCCCAGGAAGTCAAGAAAATTTGCATAACTTTCCCTCATCAAAATCTTGGAATCCTGCAAGGGAGTACAAGCTGTTGACAGTGTTGCAGCCAACCAACAGACAATACAGACACCCACACCCCGAGGGAAGTTTTGTAGGAAAGGCATCAGTAATTCATCTTCCAACTGCTGAAGTTCAACCAAAAAGGAAGCACTAGAGGTCACTCTTACAATGTGCAGCACATCAGTGCAAGGATCAGTCCCTCAAGACAAGCAGAGCTCAACACTGGCCTAACACAGCGTGTTTTTTTTCCAACACGCTGCGTCTGGTTGGGTTTGCGGTATATTAAGAGGTTTAATTGGGTTGCTAGTTGTATGAAAGTGGAAGGAGCCGATCAACATGGAAGAGCTTTCTTTTGCAATGTATCTTCTCAGTAAAGAAAAGGTGAGATGCTGAGATCTGAGAGCTCAATATTCCAGTCTGCTCAGCTCTGTCTGGGCCTCTTGCTGACACTTAAAATCTCAATCCTGATTCTGAATTCATTCAGCCTCAGTTTCTTTAGGAAGTCATGTAATGCTCTCTTTAACACTGGCTGAACTTCGAGAACCTATACACTTTAAATTCCCAGGAACTTTCAAATAATAAAGTTGGAATTCTTGGTTGGCACATCCATCAAGAATTGACTGTTCTTCAAGTGTCAAAAATGTCATCAATTGCCTTCATGTAATTTACATTGCATTTTGTAATTTCTTGTTACCATTTGGGCAGTGTGATTTGCAGCTGTATATAAAAGGAAATATTTCATTTCCTAATTTTTATTTTATTCCTCAGTATTTGGGAAGGATTCACTTTGTGGAAGAAGCAGGTCCATTTTGTTGGCAGGTCACAGTGGAAAGTAGACCATGCGTTTTATCCTTTTTGGAAGAACAGGTCTATATGTTCAGGAGCAAATTGGGAATTTGCAAAAGAATGAGCAACCATCAACTAGCATGTGTTTCAAAATGTTCTAATAGCTCTAGTAATTCTTCTGGACCAGACCACATATTGGTAAAAAAATGAATCCATCTTGATTACTAATATTAAAGTCAGAACTGAATGTGAATAAAAGAATTAAAAGTCTGTCTCTTAGGCAAATACAAAGACCTTTGTCATCCACTGAGTTGCTAGTTGTTGGTCCAACATGAATGCTTTCACAGGGGAACTCTGTAGACATAGGATTTAAGTGTACTTGACTTTGGAATATTAATTGATCTTTCTACTAGAAATATTCTATATAAATCTAAATATGTATAAACTTAGACCCATGTGCTTGTACACTTTGGGGGGCCCCTGATAAGTACTCTCCTGCCTAAGGATGAGACATAGTGAATGGATCACATTCTTTGCCTACTGGTGTGCCACTGGACATTTTAAAAGTAGTGAATAAGGCCCTAGATTTTTCTCTTTGTTCTTGTTGAGGTGAGTTTGTTATTATATGAGATGTCCCTTTCATGAAAAGGTGGAGACAGATCCTGGTAGATGGGCTTGATCTGTGAGAAGCTACACTGACTCTTGTTTTCTTCACTTCCTACTAAGAGACACACACTAAAAAAAGAGAAGCCATCTCTTTATTTTGTACTTGGTCTGAATAGTAAGACTGTGTTGGAGGAAGGGTAAGAGAAAGAGCAGGTGTAAGTAGTTTGGCTGATAGGAGTCCTGCTTTAGTTTCACCTGGTAGATCATGCAATGGCGGACCTTTGGCCTCAGACATACATACTTACTGTGCCTTACTTGAGAAGAACTGATGCTTACCAAGGAGCTGACCGATGACTTAATTAGAAGTTAGCTTCTCACCGTGTTCTTTTTTTTCTAATAGAAATAAAGGATAGAGTTGATATTTACCAGAAGGAAACATTAAAATTGTGGTAAAATCAGTAATTGATAAAAGTAATCACCCGAGTAGATGGCCACTTTTGTGGGTCTTTTGGACAGATCCTCAAATTGCTAAAACTCAACTTTGAAACTTTCTCTTTCTTCCTCTCCCCCAAATTCATCTCTATGGCCAAAAATAGCTAGAAAACAATAATGAAGTATGGCTAAATATAATTCTATAATGCACTGCCTAAATGGCTAACTTTGGATGGAAATGACTAGTGTGCGCGGTGACTAATTTCTCTACTAGCAGTGGTGATTTATTTTCATCCACATAGTGAATTCTCTGCATTTACTGCAGCCACCTCAAATCATGTTTGACAAAGGCAACCTTTGACTCTAGGGTAACATAGCTCATAAATTAACATAGGTATCAAACATGACTTCCAGTGAGTGGTACCTGGTGCTTAAAGTAAGAGTCATTATGGTTATCTTCTGAAATTAGTTTTTGGATTTATATCATATATAAACAATTTCTCTATTGGAGCCTATATATATATATATATCCAGATTAAATTGACTTCTTCAGTGAAAGCAAATTATTAGAATTGTATCACATCAAGTATAAGTTAATGTAGTGTTAGGCTTAGAAGTGGGTAAATTATGGCCCACGAACCAAATCTGTTCTGCTGCCTGTTTTTCTATGGTCTATGAACTAAAAATGATTTTTCACATTTTTAGCTGAAAACAAAACAAAAGAAGCATTGTTCATGGTTCAAAATAATTATGTGAAATTCAAATTTTAGTCATCTGTCTTATTTGTAGGAGTGTATGAGAAAAATTTGTACTGGAATATTATATTTTGAATTTTATAAATAAAATTTTTGTTAAAATTATTTTACTCATGGTCTCTTAGTACCTACATGATATTCTTTACTATCTGATACTTTATAGAAAATATTCATTGACTTCTGATGGAAATATTATACAATGTAATATAATGACAAGACAGAGATAGTGTATAAATTATACTAAAGTAACATTTAGCATTTAGTCAGTCATTTAGTTCAAAATGCCCCCCCCCCCACCAACCATAGAGTTGTGGTACTGAAGGTAATTACAATATTTCTAGGAGTTATAATAGAAGAAACCTTCAAGCTAATATTTTTGTCATGTTTCTTCTTAAATATTTGATTGTCCAAAAATCTTGTTATTTCAATGAGTATGCATTATTTATAATTATTTGTAAATTTTCAGCAGTTTTGGTTGATCA